GATGTGCCTTGGTGTGTTCCTTCTTGAATCCAACTTCTTTGGGACTCTCTGAGCTTCCTCGATTTCCTGGAAGTCTATTTCCTTTGCCAGATTGGGGAAGTTCTCCTTTATTATTTGTTCCAATAAGTGTTCCATTTGTGGCTGTTCCTCTTCCCGTTCTGGTACCCCTATAATTCTGATGTTAGAACGTGTAAAGATGTCCTGGAGGTTCCTAAGCCTCTCCTCATTTTTTTGAATTCTTGTTTCTTCATCCTTTTCTGTTTGGTCATTTTTTTCTCCCTTCTGGTCCACTCCCTTGATTTGAGTTCCAGTTTCCTTTCCATTACTATTGGTTTCCTGTGCATTTCCCTTCATTTCAATTAGTTTAGCCTTTATTTGATCCTCTAATTACTGACTAAAATCAACCAGTTCTCTGAGCATCCTGATCACCAGTGTTTTGAACTGTGCATCTCAAAGTTTTGCTATTTCTTCATTGCTTAGAGTTATTGGCTCTGGGGCTTTGAGCTGTTCTTCTTGAGCCATAATGTTTTGTTCTGTTCGCACCTGTTAGGTATGAGGAGCGGAGCCTTAGGTATCCACCAGGGCGGGGCCACCCAGGTCGCTGGTTTGTGAAGCTTATGTGGGGGCGGAGTCAGAGATGGACAATAGCGGTCCCCTCTGCTGCTTTTCTATGCTGGGGCCTGCTTGGTCTGTCTCACTGCTCCCTCCTTCGCCAGTTTATCTGAGCACAAATGTGTGACCGAGATCAGCCTGCCGCCTTGCGCCCTCAGTGGGTCCTTCCGCTGCTACTCCACACCTGGGATTCACCTACTGCCTGCATGCCTGGGTCTCACACCAGGGTCGGTCGGGTGGATCTTTTCTGCCAGACCCTGCTCTGCTGCTGGCTCTGCCCCTCTTTACGGTTTGGCTGAATGGTTCGTTGTTATCAGACTTCCATATAGTTCAATTTTCTGTGGTTTGGCTGTGTTTTTGTTGCTAAAACTTTGTTGTTTTTAAACTTGGTTGTGAGAGAAGGCCAAGTGTTTCCACCTACGCCTCCATCTTGGCGGAAGTCCTATAATTGGGTTTTTTGACATCAAGCTAGAACAGGAAAATTTACATAAGTAAAATCTTCAGGGTAAATGGCCTATGAATGAAATATATTCCATTATGACAACAAACAAATAGTGAAGGAAAAAGAGTAATGTATGCTTCTTTATACATTGTGTTCTCACTCTGCATGGAAAGGGAAATATTAAAATAAGCAAAATTTTTACATTAGAAATAAAATTACTCTTTTAATAAAATGACAGGTAAATTTCTTTTTAAAGCTTTTGCTGAATCTTTTACACTGTTAAAAAATCAGCTGCACTAGCGGCTTGTATTTACAAAGAAAAGCTTGTGGGTGTGTGTCATTGGTTACTGATTCTAAGGCCACCCCAGAAGTACAGAGAACGTCAAACACAGCTGGCTGTGTTACATCTTTCCTGAAGCAGCCATCAGAATTGCACATGAACTTGAAGGTATGCCGCAGTAGCATTCGTAAGAGTGAGAAAAGAGCATTGACTTGTTCTAATGCTCTTCCTGCTTTTACCCTTCAGAAGCCGTTTGGCCTGCAGGATCAGGGACAATCTATGTTTTCTTCCTTGGTGTACTCTGGCAGGTCTGCTTCCTGAGTTGTGGCCGACAGCCAACATTTTATATGTTTGGTTTTACTGCTTTACTCCTAGAGGCATTGTGTGTACAGACTCACATTAGAAGAATAGGCCATTTTCCTGCCCACTTGCACAAGACTCCTGAAAGCTTCCTGTTATCCATGCTCATGAGCTTGGCTTTCCCCTTCCTAAACATTTATGGAATTTCACAGACTGTTCATGAATCAAACTGTCCCAACCAGGGACCATTTTTGAATGAGAGTAGCTCTTACATTTCTCCATTTGTGATGTAACCAGCTTCTCCCTGCTCCTTTCTTCTTTTGCTAATGCCAATTCTTTTTTCACACACAAAAAATAACCACCCTGATCCCCAGGTGATTTTAAGTAATAGCCTTTGTCATGGAATTTGTCAAAGGCCTTTAGAAAATCTTTCTCTCCCTTCCCGCCACCCTTTCTTTCACCCTGTGGTATCTACTGAAAATGTTCAATAATAATAGTAACAATAATGATATCCATTTGTATGTAAGTGTTTGGCATCCCCATTCTCCATTGTGCAGTCAGTCTTCTCCACTCTTTCCTCGAACTCCTCAGAGGTTTATCAATGCCAGGACTGAGCAAGGTCTGAACTCAGCCACCCCCTGAATCCTTCTTCCTGACAGGGGTCACATTTGCAATCTGGCACAGTTGCTTGCATAACAATACATTCCAGTGGGCTAATTTCACCCTTGAGTTCCTGCAAAACTCTCATTGAGCTGCCCTCCACTTGGTGATTTATCTAGATTTATTATGTCAATTTAGCAGAGTAGCTCTGATACAACCACTGTTGGATTTAATAGCATTAATCTTGCCTTTCCAGGAACAATATAGGACTGGCAATCTCCCTATGATCTTCTTCATTAAAAGCTAAGGTTTAGGAACTCACCCGTGAGCTATCATCATTTCATCCTTTGGACAATGCTTTGTTCCAGCATCATCTGTGGTCTGTATTCTTTCTTGACTTAAATTATTCTCTCTGATTCATTGAAGGGAACTCATATTGCTCTTGAAGTTTCATATATAATGCTCTTCAATTTCTTTACATTTTGAAGACTACTTTATCTCTACATTATCCTAGTGTTCCACACTTTGTAGACTTTCCTGTTCTCATTACTCAAACCATATTTTAGTTTAGGAAAGGAAACTAATTATTTCCTAAAATACAATTTTTGATATTTCCAGTTGTCCATACAATGCAATTGGGAATGTAGCAGACATGAAATAATTTTGAATAGGGTGGTTTTTACAAAATCATTGCATTTATATTATAGATGCCTGCTCTGAAATTAGTAAACAATATAATGAGTGGTCATTCAGCATTCTAGGGGCACCAGTTATAATGATTAATAGCCATTAATTAAGATAAGAAACGTGCAGTAACTCTGTGTGAGACAGTGTGAAACACTGAAATTCACCTAAGTCAAAAGACGGTCTCTGCCCCCAAGGACCTCTCAGTGTGAAGTTGAGTCACATGCATACATGTAAACAAACAAACCAACATCACAATGTGTATGTAGGTGCCACAAATAGATAAAAGTGAAGGAGGTAATGATTGCTTACATATCCAGAGGTGGGAGACTGTTTTCAGAGCAGAGTAAATGAGGCTGTTGAGCTGGGTCTTGATAAATAGGTGGGAGAGTCCTGGGAAGACTGTGCTAGGAAGGGCAGGGACATTAAACTGGGTGTGGCGTAGAGTGCGACAGAAATGGTTGTAAATAAGAGTAGAGAAGACAGAAAAAGCTGGAACCAAGTCCTTAGGAAAACAGAGGAAATAAGGGATTTAAATAATGAAACAGTATTCAAATTTGTGATGCGAGCTTTCAAATAGATCATTGAAGAGGTTATTACACTGTTGAAGCAAGAGCTGATGGGAGATATGGCAGTGGGAATGGAAAGCAGAGAATGGGTTCAATATACAGTGAAGAGCTGTATTTGAGTCCCTTAAACATGCAGTCAGGGTGGTAGTGAATTGAGGAAGAGCAAGAAGTCAAGTGTGACCCTTACCCCAGGATTCACTTTTTGGTGACTAGGTACATGGTGATTCTAACAACCAGAAGAAGGGCAATAGAAGGAACAGCAGGTTAATAATAGGACTGACTCAAGTATTATGGGAAAGCTCTGTAAAGATGATGAGTTCCATTTTGAACGCATTTGGTTTGATGGGGGGGTATCCAAGGGAAGATTTCCAATAAATAATTACATAGTCTTATAGTCAGGCTTAGAAATATAAATGGGGGAGCAACTAGCATAGGTTTCAGTCAGCTTTGCATTCTGGCAAGGTGTTTTTCAGGTGCTCTGCTAAGAATAACAGCAACAAAGATGAGTAACGTGATCTCTCTCTGAAGTCTATTAAGGAACAAAGACACAACTATTTATTACACCTTCTTCTTCTAATATGTCAGCTATGTGAATCTTATTCAAATAAATGATTTATTCCATACACTAAACCCTGGTCAATACATACTTTACTTACCTTTCAGCCATGTGGTAATTTTAAATAACTCCTTGATCATTCTTAAGAGCAGCAACTATCAAAGCAATAAATTACTAATATGATATACTTTTTGATTCCAAGGATATAAGAAAAATAGGTTATTCCAATTGGAAAATCATTTAGCTGAAATATTATATTTCTTACCGTAAGCCCTTTGTATCACATTTTGTGAAGGGCAAGTTAGTTATACTTCATAAACCAATGGAGATCTGGCAGCTCTGGTGTTATTGAGGGAGAAGGAGAACTATTCAAACAGCTCTTACTTTTGCCTTTTTACAACGCCAACCCCCTTTAAAAAGCAAAAGTATCAACATAAGTACAGTTGGCTTGTGGGAAAGAAACAATAGTTGAAAAAAGATGTATGATTAAAAATTCCCTATAGTTACCCTAACAAAATTCAGGAATTCTCTGACAAAAAAAAAAACAATTTTTTTCTGAAGCAATGTTTAAACGAATTGTAGAAATGCTGAGATCATTATGTATAATGTTATTTATGAAACCCAAACTGAAAATCATGTTCTATAGCTGTAATCCACAGTTAAATGGCACATATTCCCCTGGCTACAAGTCCATGCTTCGAGCAAGATGACATACACAAAGAATAACTTGAAGAGTCTGCTTTTTCTTGAAAAAAAGAAATATTAACTAGAAAATTTCTCAGAAATGTGTGTTGGCTTGTTTTCACAACCTTTTCTAAAGTGGATGTATTCATGTAATGCATGAAGCTACAATGTCCTATGAATTCTACAGAACATAAAATGTCAAACCTTGTTACTGGAAGTTCCCCAAATGACCTTTTTGTTTGTTGTTGTTTTTTTCCTATTATCATTAAACAGGGAAGGCCATGGCAAAATTTCAGTATTTGCTGTCAAAATGGCTTTAGCCACACTGTGTGGCGGGAAGATCATGGACAAATTAAGATGTAAGTCACTCTCCCTGTGCCTCTTTGCTTATTCCTCGTGCACCGCACATTTCCTGCCCTCATTCCTGCCACATCCGCTGCCCGTTTGTGACTTTCCTCATGCTATGAGAGTTATTTGAAATGTAATCGTTCCTGGATGAAAGGGTCCTATATTAAAGTAAGTTTGAGGAAAACTGAGAGAAGAGTTTTCAGAGCCTTTCCTGAACCACGGTAATTCTGGAGCTTTCCACCTTTGTACTCAGCTTTCCTCAGTGTCAGGATTTTATCCTTGTCCTGGGGAGAAAATGGGTAGGGTAGTTTCAAGAGTCACATCTCACTCCCGAGGTCCCCAGCCCCTAAGCTGCATCGCCCAGGCATCACAGGTCAATTACCATGGAATGGGCATGACAGCGTGGAGTAATCCACCCTCACCTCCGAGCTGGGAAGGACCACTGCTCTCCCTTAGCCTTGGGAGAAATTTGGGGCAGTAAAGATGAAGGGAATGAGTGTTAGGTAAGCAATAACAATGTCTGCACTGCCACAAAGCTCAAGATATTGTACAATAACTAAGTTTTTGAGAAGATATTTAGCAAATGTCAAAACTTTCACAGTTCTCTGGCAAGTCCAGGAATTCAAAGCAAATCATGTATTTCAAAAACTGCTACAGTGCTTTTCCCTCATCCCTTCCCATCCTTGACTGAAAGCCCCCACAATCAGTGAGCAAAGCATGCATGCTGCCTAGTGGCCAAAGTAAATCCTCTTGTTCCAGTGAAAGAAGTAACCAACACTTGAGTCCCACCAAGAGTAACTGCGTTCTCCAAAAGTAAGCTTCAGAGTATCACAAATCCTATCAAAAAACAGAAGGTGCAGTCATGATATATTATCATGTTGCCCTTCCCCTGAACCATGGACCTGAGTCTCAGCCTAACGTGTCCCCACTTCTCTGACTATGGGTCACTCTTGGTAAAGTTTAATCCCTGGGACGTGGTTTAACTGGTTTCCAGGTAAGTCAGTTGAAAACAATGTGACCAAAAAATGTTTAGCTGAAAGCAGTTTGGCTGAAGAACCACTCCGATGTGTCAATTGGTCAAAAATGAATATCCTCAGTCACCGGTGGTAATTATTGACTGAAGGAGCATATGTGAGCAAAACCTGCCCACAGACAGCAGTAGCTGACTCTTGGTTAGCAGGATTATGGGTGTTCTCCCTAGTCTTCTTTTGCTAGCTTGCATTTAATAATAGAACAGGCACACTCATGATTTTCTGCTTGCTTTTGTAATAAGGAAAAAATAAAATGAAAAGATACGGAATTTCGGGGATTTGAGGAGTTTGTTTTTCCTTCCTTAAATTCTGATTCACTTTTAGTCAGTGTGCTAGCTGTGCAATTTTTCTATTTTTGTACATAAAGATGAAAGATATTTTACATTTTCATCTAGCCCCTTAATGTTGGAGAGCCCAGGACAAGAGTAATTGGCTGAGAATAAATTAGCAATTTTAAAAGGCAAATAAACATGGAAAACCTCCGAAAATTTAAAGCTGAGTTTCTAAAACTGCTTTTAAATGCATTATAAGAGACAACACCCCCAGGTTGCTCTACCACTTCCAAGACACGGGGCCACCGCAAGCCAAACAATATGCAGCATGTTCACTGTGCGCCTCCAGGCAGCCTGGAGGATGAGGGCAGCCCCTGCCCCTGTAGGACTGAGCAACCTAAACAAACTGATAGAACAGACTCCTCCTGTCAGATCATTCTTGGTCTGATTATAGCCTGTTGTTTTAATGAGATAAAGTATTTATTTACATTTCTGCTCAGGGTTCCTAGGTAGTCCTAAGGATTTTAAAGAATTCTGAATCCAGTGCAAAAGCCTGGAGTGCCAGGTGCTATTCTAAAATGTCTGGGGAAGGTTTGTTTGTTTTCTTTCAAAGACTAGCATTATGGCAAACACCGTGTATTTGTTTTCTTTCAAAGACTAGCATTATGACAGACACCATGTATTTGTTGAGTTTCTGTTACTGATCTGGTTGTTCTGCCTTCAAACCTACCCCCAAGGTAGTATTTCTAAATCACTGGCCTGCCTTAAATTCTTTAGAAACTCCCCCAACACCTTCTGGACACCATCTACACTCCCTTGTAGAGCTTTTGAAATTCCTCACATCTCCACCTCATCTCCCACTATGCACTGTGCGTACCAGGCTCCTGACACAGTGAAGTGCTCGAATGTTTTTCAGTGCCTCACGGTCGAGCATCTCTCTGCACATCCTGACCCAGTTTCCTGGGCCTGACCAACCCCTAATTGTCCTTTACACTTGGCCTAGAACCCACCTTTGTAAGGAAACCATCCCTGACCCACTCCTTCTCTGGGACGCTCCTGCTGCATCCTGTATACCCTACTCTTCCAGTGTGCACACCACCATGTTACAATGTGTGATGTCATGACACATGATGTAAGCATGTTGCTGTCATTCTCACATTTCTCAATGTGAGAAATGTCATTCTCACATTTTTCCATATCAGAAAAAATGTGATATGAATTTAATGATAAAGTAGCTACCATTTATTGTGTACTAGGTGCCAAGCACTATTTGAGTGCCTTACATCCGTGTGCTTTTCACCTGTTAACTAATGTAATCTTTGAAATAGCCCTTTATTTGATATACATACATATATATTACATATTATAAATATATTACATACGTATGTGTATAGTCCCCCCTTTCACTGGAATTCTTGAATTTCTATATTTGGAATTACATAAGAGTTTTTTTGCTGTAATGAGAGTTTTTTGCCTTTGACAAGCTTTTTATTTTTAACTAATTATAATGAAACATAAGAGATAAGATTCACTAAGTAAACACCATTGTGAAGGTGGATGAAAATAACATTAAAGTTTTTGCTCAGATAGAATTTCTATAACCTTACAGTTGATAAACTTTGAAACACAACAGAAGTCTTTTATAACCAGAATCTAAAGAAATTGAGAGCCAATTCACATCCTTAACACATAATTCAGTAAAAGTCTGTCATGTGCTTAGCATCTGACTGCAGTATAATAAGAATGTCTCCAGACTACATTTTGACCTTGAAAAATTAAGCCCACAATGAACAGAGGGAGCACGTTGAATTTACAATAGTTGATCCCAGCAGCTGTGCTGGCCTCATTACAATCACGCATGGTGACAAACTATATGATAGCAAACCCTTTCATTGCAGTAGTGATTTTCCACAGAGGAATTATAACGTACCTTGGGAAATTATGCCATTAATATTCATTAAGTGCACACAGTGGCAGAAACTGAAGACCAGAGGTTCGATGAAGCCGTAGGCTCTGCTGAGAGTAATCTCACAGCCTCACTTTACCTCATTGATCATCCACAAGGCCAGGCTTCCTCTTGACTGCAGGAGGCAGAAGACCCTTCCCTGTAAATCAATGCCTTCCACCCAGAACACCATGATTTATAGAAAGTTTTCTGCTCCTATGGAGGGTTAATCAAGTGTTTTCATTACCTCCTTACCCCACTGTGTCTTTCATTTTTCAGTATCATAAACCAAAACCCCAACTTTTTAGTGATAATATAGATGCGTAAATAGCTACCCAACTAGCTACACACACACACACACACACACACACCCACCCACCCCAATGCTGTAGTATCATTTTCATTGCGTGTTTCAAACAAGGTCAGTGTATTTCTCACATCTATAAACTTTCCTCCCATTGAGTTATACGTGGATTAATAATTGACCTCAAAATAACAATGTTATGTTCTCTGTCTTATCAAAATTTGCTAATTTTATCCCCAATACTAGCTAATGCTAGGTGCCAGAATCATCTACAAAGAGACACCAAAGGAAACACCATGCCAGGAATATTTGGCGTAAAAATTAGCTTTTGTATTATTCTTACATAAATATTATCTAGTTAGCCACATTTTTGTTCTCTGAAGCAGAAATGTTGGACTGAAACAGTGGCGAAGGTTTATGTGATGAACAAATATCTTTGCTTTTTCTTCCACCAGATATTTTCTCGATGATTTCTGACTCCAGTGGGGTGATGGTTTATGGACGATATGATCAGTTTCTGCGGGAAGTTCTCAAGCTACCCACAGCAGTTTTTGAAGGTCCCTCATTTGGTTACACAGAACAGTCAGCTAGATCCTGTTTCTCTCAACAGGTAGGAAAGATTGCATTTAAGGAAGTGTCTTTCAAACAGTGGTTGCTCTCCCTTTTATGTCACTCCAAGCCACTAATTAGTCAAGTTCTCTTTCCTGATAACCTGTAGTACGTCTTCCAGCCTCTGACAAATGACCTGTGAATCGGTAACTAAACTTGACACACCTGGATAATAATAAGAGGTGATATCTCACGACCATGCCAGGCATCAGGCTAAGTTTTTCACTTGCGTTGCCTAATTTAATCCTTACAACAACCCTAGAGTCTCAGTATCATTAGTGTCACTGTATACTATCAAAAGGGCTGAATTGTCCCTCAGCTTCACATGAAACACAAGTCTGGTCCACCACCAAGTTTCACCAATGCTTAGCAAAGACAAAAAAGATACGGCATATGCTATGTGGCACTGTGGGAGTCCCAAAATAGGGCAGACATGGCTCCCTAAATCTTCCATGATGTGATAGATTTAAAGCTCAGAGAGACATGTCTTACCTTGGGTTGGTACACCGTTAGCCCAGGGAAGCCACTTAGTTTGGGGAGCACTCCATGTTCATGTCTCTCCAGTCATGCAGAAAGTGTCCATGTCTAGTATCCAGCACAGCAGAGTGGTAGTTTACAAATCCATAAATTGAAGGTTTGTTTACACCTGTTTAAAAAAGCCAAGCTAATCAAGAAAGCCTTCTGTAAGGATCCCCTGAATAAAAACATCAGTGCACAGAAGCCACTGAAAAGGTGCATTTACTATCCAGGTATTAAATGGCATCAGTCTGTTTCCTTGGTGATGTAGGAAGTGCCTCAGGCATCCCTGCAGTTGGACTTATGTCAATTTATGTAGAACCATAAACATACCCATAGAATCAGTAAGGGAAGGGATGGTCGCATACAGGAAGTGCTAATTCTTCTCCTGTGGCATCGCACCCAGGAAGCCTTTCTGACCCCATGCTTCCACCCCAAGGCTAGCTTAGGTGCCTGAGTTTGGCCCCCAGCAGGACTTGGGTGATTGATGAGAAGATCTGAGCTATGAAGCTGTACAGAAGGAGGTTTAGGTGAATAGATCCATGGTCGTCTTTCAAGTTCCCTTGGAATTGGTGACATTGTAAAAGTTTCTCCCATCTCTTTCTTTACCATCATCTGTTGCCTGGCTCATTGAATTAAGTAAGCCCTAAACTGACCTCCCTGCCTCTGAATGTATTGATTTGTACAGTCCTTGATTTGAGGTAGTAGAATGCTCAGTAAATCTATTAATGCTCCAGTATATTTTACATTCAAAATTAGCTATAATAACAGGACTTTTAAAATCTTACTAGGACCTATATAGTCAAAAAGAATTATATTGGATATTGCCATTGCTCAAAATTCCTTCTGAAATATCTATAGACTTCCCCATTATATAATCTTATATACCTTTAATGAGAAATTTATACACATTGAAATCATAATGTTTTTTAACCTTCCTGATGATGTTTAGCCAGTCTGATAGTCCAAATGGATAAGATCATTTGAAGTACAGAAAGAGGCAGCACAAGTAAAAATAATAAGCCCATTTATCTTTGTGCTTCATAAACTGACCATTTGAATGATGAAATTCCAAAATTGTTTTAATTGCTTCACTGGAAAAAGTATAAGCTACTCCAAGTAATTGTTTTTAAAGACAAAATTATTTTAGGTATACAAATAATATTTTAATATTATTTAGGTATATGAATGTAATAGTTTAAAAAATATTATCTCATGACTTATATTTACATAATTTATCTTTTAATAATAATGTTTATATCAATCCTGCCAAAACCTTAAAGTATTTGGTATTACGAAGAAAGGCTAAAATTATAAATACCTGCTGATTAAAAAAAAAGATTAAATAGCACCAAAACAGTTATTTTGTGCATTACTAGTATAAGGTATAGCCTTTGAAAAAGTACTATAGCTCTTAGGAGTGAATTTTTTGTCTAAAAAAATAAAACTATCTCATCCAACTGTATATTCTAATTCAAAATTTCAAATAAACTAGTGATGTTTGCACATAAACATGTAACTTTTGTCATTCATTGAATTATAATATTATGTATTAATAGAATTGCTTATTTTTATTTTTTTTGAAAGATTATATACAGGGCCTGACACAAATAATGCCCCTGTATCTTACAAAGTTTTTTATTACAAAATCATAAATGTGTAATTCTGTAACATAACAATATCACACTCAAGCACAACAGATGACATTTTAGGTGAAATGTTCAAATTCAAACTATAAATTATCCCCTAGCTAGTGTAGCTCAGTGGATTGAGTGCAGGCCTGCAAACCAGAGGATCATGGTTCAATTCCCAGTCAGGGCACATGCCTGGGTTGCAGGCCAGTTCCCAGCAGGGGACACACGAGAGGCAACCATACATTGATATTTCTTTCCCTCTCTCCTTCCCTTCCCCTCTAAAGATAAATAAATAAAACCTTTAAAAAACTATAAATTATTACACCCATAGTATTACCCTACCAACCATACTCAGGCAGGTGTTACTTCTAGCAGACCCTGTGTATAACACATTCATTTTGTACATCAGGAGGGACCAAGGTACTGAGACTGAAGCAGATGGAACTGAAAGAAGAGACATATAAAGAGAGAAGAGAATTTTGTAATGTAGATTGTCCTCTCCTAACAGGGGGGATTGTTCCTCATAATAGGATTCCCTCCTAAACGTGTACAGCAGAACCATTCACATTGACAAACCCCACATTAATTATGGGGTTTGAGGAAGTTTGCAAAGGAAGTTGCTCTGCAGATGTGGAAGACTGACATGGGACTGTATTGTGTGCTATGGCACACAGTTGGGTAACTTCATGGAAATGCCTATTCTTCATCTGTCCTCATCATTTTCATACTGTCCCTCATCGGTGAAGGTGATGCTCTCAAAATTGTTTTTCTCCTTGTGATAATACTGACTCGGCTTTAGTGGAGATAATTCATTTCTGGGTATAAGTATAAAATGCAATCAATATTTTAAATTTTGCTGAACTTTATTTCAAGTTCTGTTTCTTTATATATTAGAGGTTAATTGAATGTCTTGTTCCTTTGATCTTAAACTGTATTTGCATGGCTGGTAAATTAAGCTTGTTGTCTGTTCTAAATTTTTGTGGGCTTTTTTTTATGCAGAAAAAAGTCACGTTAAATGGTTTCTTGGACACACTCATGTCAGACCCTCCCCCTCAGTGTCTGGTCTGGCTGCCCCTTCTGCACCGGCTGGCAAATGTAGAAAATGGTGAGTAGTTACTACTAAGCTAAGGCAATTGCTTTAATCATTGAAATTAAGTGATCAAGTCTATAGTAATTAAGCCAAAATCATTGTTTTAGGGAAGTCTGCGTAGATGTTCTGAGCTTCGTTTAGGACAGAACTAACCAGTCTGCCTAATCAATAACGCCTTAGAGGTACACTGCAACATTAAGACTGTCAGTTCTGAAACCTTATTTGTCTACCTCTGAGTTACAAGTCAGATGTGGCTTAAAGACTTGAAACCACAGAAGAATCTCAGCAAGGAATGTGATGTTTTCTACTACTTGTTTTGGGTCTGAATTTCCAGTATTGGTTTATATTGGCATTGTCTACTTCTTCCTAGACACTCAGCCAGGAACAGATGGAAGAGAAGGGAAAAAATTAGATGAGAGAAACTTACTCACTAATCTTTCGTCATGTGTTTCAAATTACAAGCTTTCATTGGTTGTAATTATGTCAAAAGTAAAAGCAATATGAACTTTTATAATGTGCTTTTGATAAGGGCAAGTGTTTCTAGGATAAAAGTAGTTAATGTTGATATGCCCAAGTTAAATGTAAAATACAGAACAAGAGTTAAAAAATTAAACATGGAACAATTCAGTGCATCTTTCTAATCTTTAGATGTTCTTATTTATTATTCAATTTAAATCTGAGATTTCTCCAGATTTAAATAGAAAATAATTTATCCCATATCTCTTCCTAGAATCTTAATGTCTACACATTTCCTTAATATATATTGGAGGCAAAAATTAGCTTAATCTCAAATTCCCATTCAGAACTTTTAGCATCTGCCTTTATCAGCTCTCTAAGTTAAAAGTTATAAATTTACCTTGCTGTGCTCAGGGAGGAGATTTAAAGAATGAATTAACTATGGTCTCTGTAGTCACTGCCAAGCATAAACCTGTTTTTTATGTTTCCTGCTCATCTGCAGAAGCAGAGAGCAATCAAGGTCCAGCTCATACAACCCAAGTTCGTATTACGGTTCGTGGCTCCAGAACTAGTCATCCTGCGATCATAAAATTGTGATTTCACTCCTCTAGCCCAGAATTTCCTGTTGCAGGAAATTAGTCTCGTAGGCTCCGTCCCAGAACAGTTGTCTGGAAACTCAGGTTTCCTTCAGCCTTTCCCAAAAGCCAGAGGAGGGAGGAGGCTAGGATGCATGTTCAGAAGGCAGTACCTCCAGAACAGATTTTACAGTTTGCTTCTTATCTTCATGTGCTCTTTTTGGCATTCTTTTCCCTGGCTAGTTTGCCAGAGAATAACTTTGCAAAAGGCAAGACTTGTTGCCGTCGTTGTTTACTATCGTCAGCTCATAGCATATAGACAGTTACTTGGATTTGATCATTCATTAGCTTTATATTTCAACTATTTTACCTTTCCTGCTTTAATATTCAAATTTTCTGCCAAAGACAGTTGTATTTCCTGAGCTGTCTGAATGAGAACTGCATTTAGATAATTTGCACATCTCTTTGGGCCCTATTCATCTGCCTCTTAAAAAAGAAAAAAAAATCTGTTTGTTAAAGGGAGGCAATGTCACTCATTAACCAAGCCCAGTAAGTACTTGTTTTTTTTGTAAAAAAGTAATTCAATTCTCTCATCCACTTTTTCTACTCTCCCTCCATTTCTCTTTCTTTTTCCTTCTTCTCATTTCCCATTTCTCTAACACTTGGTCTCTCCCCACTGGAGAGGCAGCTGTGCTCATCCCTCGTGCTTCTGAGTCTTCCAGTGAGCTGTGCTGGTCTCCTGGAGACAGAGCACTTTGGGGGAACGGTGGGGGACGGGGGGCCAGTCTGCGTGGTTTACATTCTTGTAGTATAAGAGATGGGAGAAGATAGAACAAATGGCATTACAGAAATTTGTTGTTAAAAGAACACCTATCCTCCATCCCTTTTCATTTCTTCCACCTCCACACATATGCTTAAAATGGGCAATGAGACTGCAGGAATAAACATAATGCTTCTCTCGGCTAAAATGACTGTCATCTCAAATCGTGGCACACGGCAGAAAAAAATGCAATCCCATTGGGCTGTATTCTTCCTTCTTCCGGCTCATACTTTGGTTTTCTTGTTTGTTCTTCACTTACTGTCCCCTTAGTCTTCCATCCGGTTGAGTGTTCCTACTGCCACAGTGAGAGCATGATGGGGTTTCGCTACCGATGCCAACAGTGTCACAATTACCAGCTCTGTCAGGACTGCTTCTGGAGAGGTCATGCCAGCGGTTCCCATAGCAACCAGCACCAAATGAAAGAGTACACATCATGGGTAAGGCAAAGCCCAGGCAATACTTAAAGTTGCATGTGTGAGTGTTACCCAGAATGCAAGGGAATGTCAAGGATGGTGACAGTATTAAGGAGCAATTTTAACCTGAAGTCTAGCATCCCTTCCACCCCACCCCAATCTCACTGGGATCTCTTACTTATTGTATCTGAACCCTGTACAACTTCCCATAACTTACAATATAGGAAGACTCAAACTATGTTACTTCTCAAAAAATAGACAATTCAGTACTGATTTAGATAACAACTGAACAGCAAGCACCATTTAGGACATAATCTCATTTTCACAGTAAGTTAAGATTCTTTTCAACTTTTGTTTGTTTGTTTGTTTTCTGTCATTTTTTGTATTTTATGGGAATTGCTTACAAATGATTGCTAGGTTCTTTTTTCTTAGATTCTGGAATTCTTTTAAGTGCCTGACTGGAAAACCAGGAAAAGATGTGTGAGCATGTGGGCTTAATGGTGCTGTTCCATTTTACTTCTTTGGAAGAGGGGGATATTGGGGCAATATTAGCAAATCATCTTTTCATGAATAGTGCATGTGAGCAACTTGCTAAAGGTAACCTGTGAGTGTCTGTCCCTGTGATGGGCATATTCTCAGCAGCGCATGGCCCTGGGTCTATGAAAAGATTGGACTCCATGAGCCTGCTGTTCCAGTGGTTTACACTTCGCTGACCCCTGCCTCAGTTAAAGTCAAAGGTCGGTCCCTGAGATGTTGTTTCATGCTCTGTGACAACATCGCTCTGTGTGCAGGTGGCTCCGTGAGGCACACCATCAGCCCTGCCAACTCCTCTTTAAATAATTCTTCCTCGAGAGCATGCAAGTTTTTTTTTTGAGGTTTTTATTTTCTATAGTCTAATGTATTTCAATTCAACATATAGTCTTTAAAAGTAACTTCTTTTTCCTTTATTTTAAAAAAGAATATCTTCAGAATATACACTTCAAATAGGGATGGTCTTTCTAAGAATGACTATTGGGAACTGATATTCAGTGTGAAAATATTAATAGTTTAGTGCCTGTCAGATTCTGAGCTCAAGTGACAGTTCTTCTCTAAGCCATCCTATACCGAGGGCTGCATGCCAGTTGTAAGGCCACTGTCACTGTTGGTCATGTCATATGCTGAGGATAAATATATTGACACAGATGATGAGACACAATTTAGTACAGAAGATAGAAGAAAGAAGTTTCTATTTTCTTATTGTCAACATATTACCAATTTTCAAGCTTGTTCTATCCCAGATTCTGGAGAGCTGGTATCAGAAGACTAATCATGTTGGTTGTTTTATGTAAATGCTGAAATCAGATAAGAGACCTCTTTCTTAGGGATTGAGAACTCTAAAATTACTTGGCAGGGCAATGTCTTTTCAAAGTCAGATTAGAGTCCCCAAGAAGATGAAGGGGCCCCAATGTTTATGGGGTAAAGAGCTTTATTCTGTTACTGTCTTATGTGTTCCAAGAGATACACCTAGTCAAACCACAGTGGAACTTCCTGGACAATGTTCCTACTACTTAACTTTTAAATAATGAGGACAAAAGTCACATCATTATATTGCCAATTATGGGCTCTATGTATAAAAGAAAGTGAAACAATTATAAATGGCTTCTCATGGAGAAGAAAATTTGGGGTGAAGATTTATTATATGTGGTAAATTATTTTTGATAATTTTTGGCTATGAAACTTTAAGGTAAACATTCCACTGATCTAAATGAAATACAGGTAGCACACTCTCTGAAAAGAAAATGAATTTTAAATTCTCAAGACTCAAATTGAAGCTGCGCTTTTAGTTAGATGCATTCCGCCCCACCTGAATCATCTTACACCTGGATTCCTGCAAAACCTCTTGTTTATTAAGACGGATCAATCCTTCTAGAATCAGGTCTGATGCTGTCACCTCCATGATTTAAACTCTTCATTGTCTCCCCCTGCATTCAAGATAAAGACCACAGCCCTTGATGTAACCTATAAGGGCTTTAATGACCTGTGTCTGGCTCTCCTCTTCTTCCTCCATCTGGAATTACCTTCCCAGTCCCCTGAGTATTTGTCTAAAGGACTCCTGCTGACCTGGTAAGTCCCAGCTCAGATCCTCCCATTCATCACAGCATTCGCTAACACTAAGCAGCAGGAGGCAGGCACCTCGTTGGCTTGTTTACCAGTGAGGAGAGTCCCTGACTTGGAGTAGATACTCAAAGAGGAGTTCCTGAATGAGTGAATGAATGAATGGTTATCTACTATGACAGCAAATCATCTGATAAAATGTTACATAAATGTTAGTTGTTATCACCTCTGTCTTCTTCTTTCCAGAAATCGCCCGCTAAGAAGCTAACTAATGCGTTAAGCAAGTCCCTGAGCTGCGCTTCCAGCCGTGAGCCTTTGCACCCCATGTTCCCGGACCAGCCTGAGAAGCCACTCAACTTGGCCCACATCGTGTGAGTACCTGTGCCCTCCACACTAAGAGACATCTCTCTTCATTGATACATGTCTGAGTCCACACAAAAGCAAATCTCATCAGTTGTCAGGGACCAAGCTTTAAAATGTAATTAAAAAAAAAAAACAGTGAATGTAATGCCATTACAATATTTTGTTGTAGAGTAAGGTATGCAGCACTAATGTAACTCACCTAGGGATAAAAAAGCATAGTTCTGAAATGTGGGTGTTAGTGGAGTTCACTCATTAGAAGTTAGCAATCAATAGAATTAGTGTGGTATGAAATTTTTAAAGCACATTTTACCTTAGCATCATATGTGCTTCGAGTCCCAAATACAAAAGCCCTTTGTTTTATTTTTCTGCAGAGCCGGTCATCTTAAAGATGGCAGCAAACCTGGAAATTATTGTTGTTTTATCCCAAGCTACATAACTTCAGAAAAATCATGGCTTGTGCTAGGGAATATTAAAGAGGGGGATTGGTGGGAATATTTATCAGAACATTTAAAAAACAGACCAAAAAATATTCCTCCAAAGTAGGTGTGAGTTTGGTGGAAACAGGGGCCTGAGTCTGGGCCTGGGCACAGTGCTCCCACCTGCCCTTCCTCCTCCCATACCACTGGAGCCTCTCTCTGGCCTTGGTAGCCAAGAAAACAGAGAAGGAGGGTGTTTTTCTCAGATGTTGTCTTGGGCTCCAAAAAAGAAAGAAGCCCGTTTCCTATTTCTAAGCACAGTAAGGAATTCCATAGCCACGGGTGCCTCAGCAAGCCTCTAGAATGGGTGGTTTTCCCTCCTCATAGACTGCCTTTCACTTGCAAGTTCAGTAGGACCTGTGGCACTGCAGAGCCTGCGTTGACATGTTGACATGTTGGCATCAAGAGGTGGGCTGATCAGACCTACCAGCATTAGGAATTCACCAATGCCAAGTTCATGATTCAGGCGGTTCAGAACATGACCCATCAGTAGCACCGTGGTGAGCCTGAGACCCTTATGAAAGCAGTAACTCTTTCATCTGATGGATCCAAGCAAATACCATCAAATGATTTGTGCTGTGGCATGTCTGTGAACTTTGTATAAACCCTACAGGGCTTTGTTTGGTTCGGTCCCAAGAGGCTGTGAGGGCTCACTGTCCTCACTAACACACAGTCTGGAGGCTCCTGTTGCTGGCATAGGCGAGGCATCCAAAAACTAACGTAAACTGAATCTGTAGAATGTAGTTCACTATTTTTGGAAATTTTGCTCCTAAAAATAAGCCTTCAGATTAACCAGGGGTAAATAAATACAGAGTGTTCCAAAGGGCTAACCACTTTCGGAAAATGACTTTATATGAGCTGTTCTTATTTAAGGTCTCACTCAACTTTCCTTCTCATAGCCAGAGACAATCACTAAACTGCTAACGAATGAACTAAATGAAATGAGGGCAAGTCTGTGCTCTCTGTGCTTTGCCACATAGTCACTTTCTACCAGACCTGCCAGGAGTTTCACCCCTGAGTGTGGCATTCAGCCAGAGCTGCTGGATATGAGGAAGAGAGATGGGATACGAATGGCCTGGCTCTAACAGCTTTGCAGCAGAACAGAATTAGGATGCTGCTTCCCAGCTCAAGAAAGAATTAGGAGATGAGGCAGTGTGAAGTCGAAGTCAGTTTCACAGTCAGTCACACTGAAGTATCACCTTGCACGGGGACTTGTACACAAGTTGGCTCAGGATTGAGGTTGGGGAGGGTGTTATTTCATTGGCCGTATAAAAATTTTTTAACTTTATAGTGGCAATACGATCTGATGCATTATTCACTCAACTAAATGAGAGTAATATCTACACAGTTTGGGTTCCATGGAGAGTTTCAGGATTTCCTTAAAATTCTACGCCAAATATGCCCTTTTTTTCTGAGAAATGGTCTATATATTGAAATGGATTCTCAAAACATCCCTTGAATCAAGTAGCGATCTATCCTCACTGCTCATATATTTTTCCAGGGTGAATGTTTTAATTTAAAAATTGTGAAAAATATTTAACTACTGAAATAACATATAAGAAATTCTGGATGCAGAATGTTCAGTCTATATTAGAACAGAATTTTTTTTTCTATTTTTGACTTTAGACATTTTTCTCCCTATTTGTTATTTAAATGTTAATGCCCTAAATAGGCATCAGTGTCTTATTTTCATTATTTTTTTTTGGATGGGGATACCTAAGGTTTCTAATTTTAAAATATGCTGTTCATTTAGCTCTTCTAAATTATCACAGGCACATGCTGGCCACTTCAGTGGGTGACATTTTGGTATCTTGGCTTTTGTACTTAGCTATCATATTGCTTGTAAATGTTACCACCGTGATTAACAGTCTCTATTCTATTCAATTCTTTGCTGCCCAAAGTGATACCTGGTAAGTAGATTAATAGTCCCCAGTGTACTTATAAAGATTTGTCATCATAATTATAAGTGCTTATGAGATACAAAACTAGTTTAAAACTAATTCTTCCTTGAGCCGAACACTTTCAGTTTGTAAGAAGAATGCCAGTTTTGTAAAAAATGCCTTCTGCAAAGATGTCATTCAGGAAGAAATTCTTACACTAGGCCCCTGTGGCTTTATCTCATGGAGCTATTTCTTTTTTATAAGAGTAAATATGTTTAAAATTCCCAGTGAGACCTATTTATTAGATAAGGTAAGTGGCCACTTGTTTATGGAGGAAATAGGAACTTGAATCCTTTTGAAAGTCAACATTTGGTCCCAAGGGTAGCCATTCTGTGTCCCAAGTTCAGCATTTTTATAATGAACTTTAAATCTGAAGCTATTTACTAATAAACTACAATTTTCAGCTTTGCGGTGACCAGGTTTAATAAAGTAAATTTACCCAGCTAGTTAAAAAACATTCTAAATCTACTTTTCTCCTTGCCTAGAGATAAAACAAGATGGGAAATTTTTTTAAAAAGACAAAAGAAATGTTGGTCAAGTTGGTTTTTTTCAACTTTTGCAAAGCTACAATGTAAGATATTTCCTTTCATTCTGTTTACTGTTTTAAAGTCTGAAATACCTGACTTTTGAAATTCACAGAGGGCATTTGTATAAAATTAGCATCCTTCTTATAAAGTGAACCCAGTCCATTCAAGGCAAAATTAGTTTTAAACTAGCCTCAGGTAATAAAGCTACTTCCTAACCCTGGCTGGTGTGGCTCAGTAGATCGAGCACCAGCCTGTGAACCAAAGGATTGCTGGTTCTATTCCCAGTCTGGGCACATGCCTGGGTTGCAGGCCCGGTCCCCAGTAGAGGGTACTGGGGATACGTGATAGGCGACCACACACTGATGTTTCTCTCCCTCCATTCTCCCTCCATTCCCCTCTCTCTAAAAATAAATAAATAAAATCTTTTTTAAAGGCTACATTCTAGATTAGCAATGCAAAACACCAAGATTGTTTTCAGAATTTTGGCTAATATATTTACAGTTGATGAAATAGTGAACCTGCTGTTTTGACCTCATCTGACAAACAGTGTGTCAACAAATTCTCAGAACACAATTGAGCCCCAGGTACTGGGAACCAAAGTTTTAATGAGTTTTTGTATATAGTGCTGACATTTTAAAACCTGCATAGCATAATTCATTTCCATTAAAGAAATTGCAGTAAACAAGTCTACCTTTTTCCTAGAATCTCTTTATTGTAGAATACAAGCTAACTCTGATTCCCTAGGATAAAGAATTAACTCATTACAAATTCGGCTCTTGATCAAGCCAACGCCATAGACTCTATGGGCTACTGTGATTAATGTTTCATCTACAAATAATTCTATACTGTCAAACTCAAGTAGATAATTACAGTGAAATCAGAATTTCTTCTGACTCAGAATGATACCCTGCCTCACCCCCCACCTTTTGAATTGCCAATCCCGTCTCAATTTCCCATGGATTGTCTTACCATGGACCTAAAGTCAGACTAAAAACTGCATGGAGATGAGAGAGGGGTCACAGCTCTGTTGTTTTGCCTGGACTAAGACATTAGTGATGGGGCAAAAATGACAAGGTGACATGTAGAATAACACAGGGAATGACAGACCGGTTGCAGTTCATATTTAGGCTCATGGACAGTTTTGAGGAATGTTCAACCTATTATTCTCTCTCATCACATGAAAAAAAGTGAAGTTTATGAGTGAAGCCTCGCACCATGTGCCCTATTATCCGGGCCATCCAATAACAGGAAGTCAGTAAATACTTTGTGCTGTTTAATCACATCTTCATTTACAACAACGAGCAAGTAAAGTACAAGATAATTTTGTAGCTGGGTCCTTCCAGGCTGGACGTGTCAGGGGAGGGTCATTTTCGTGGGAAACACAGGAAGAAGTTTCCAAGCCTTCAGAGATCTTCCTTTTTGCAAAAAGATGTAGGTTCTAAACATTATCAATTTTCAGAGCTTCTCCCTTTAGAAGGTAGTAAACATAAGGCTGCCTCAAAATCCTCACCGAAGCCCAGAGCTCTTGGATCAACACACTGTGGTGTCTGGGATCTTCCTCATCATGTTTACTTGAGATCCTGTGTTCTCCAAGAAATGTAACTTTATGGACATGGACGATAGTGAGGTGATTGCCGAGGGGAGGGGGATAGAAGGGGACTAAATGGTAATGGAACAAAATACAATGAATATTAAATTTTAAAAATGTAACTTTAAAGCACTCAAAGAATGTAATTGAAAAATGTAAAATTTTGTGTTGATCCTGAGTTAAGATAGACCTCTGGTCTTCCCACCCCCTCCCCTCAAGAGTGGTAGCTAGATTTTAACCTGTGACTTCTACTTGTTTTAACTTCCCATCCATACTGTACTTTGTTTTAGGCCACCCAGACCTGTAACCAGCATGAATGACACCCTGTTCTCCCACTCTGTCCCCTCCTCAGGAAGTCCTTTTATTACCAGGAGGTAAGTTCCAATCCTATTGTATAATAAGCCCATGGTTTGGTAATGAGCCTTGATTTTGTGATGAGAAAAATATTCTAGTGTAAACCAAGACTGGAAGCCTATTGTTAGAAACTAGTTAAGTAAATATCTGTTGCATGTTTTCAATTTCACTCATTTGGATACCTTGAAAGAGGAAGAGGATAGCTTCAGGGATTAAAGTCCTTTCTGGAAACTTGCATTTATAGTGCATCCATTGTAAGAATATAGAATTTGTTTATATTTTACTACTGACATACATGCATTCTCTTCACTGAGAAAGTCGATTCCCTAACACTTAGAAAGGTCCATGTAAGCCAGGAAATTGGAATTTCAAGATGCGATGGATAATTAGGATGTACACTCTGAAACATCTCTCAGCTCAAAGCTCCAGATATAAAACCCTCTTCTTGGTGAACCTTGTAGATCCTGAGGCTAGAGACTGAAGACCAAACTTGGAAATGTAGTTTCCACATAAGTCATTTCATGGATAATAACAAGGACTTAAACAAAAGGTGGATTATGTATCATCTTTTTTAACAAGATCCATTCCCACTGGGAGCAAAGAACAGGTGAATCCAGTACTTCTTTTAGAGCCAGCATTACAAATATGCAGGCAGGGTCAAGAGTTGCTCATTTGATCAAATATCACAAATAAAGCACCAGAGAATTATTTTATAAATACAAGGAGAAGGCTCACAGGAAAGCAGAGACAAAGGTAAGGATAATGGGAGTGAGTAATCGAACCCACGATTTTCAAATGCCTTTCATAGGAAAACAAAATACAGCCTCCTGCTTTACAAAATGAACGTAATCAGTCTTTTCCCTGAAGAGGTCTCTGAGATAGCAATTTCACTGTAATATCCAGGTATGTTCTAGTGAGGATTTGAAGGCAGGGAGACTTGGAGCACTACTGTTTTTTGCTCCGTGTTCCTGTACTTGCCCATCAGCAGGAACCCATGATGAAGATGTTCCCCATAATTGTAATGAGCAGAATAAATGGAATGTGCATGGTGTTTCCTTCCTGTAAATTAAGCAAGTCTGTATTTAATGAGTGGAAATGAAGACACAGCCGAACTACAGAAGCCCCACAGTGAAATCATGTGGTTAGGCCCTCGGTGTGTTTCTTTTCAAAACCATCAGCAAATTCAACCATCTTTTCTAAAACAAAATCTTAAGCCGTAAAGTTGATAAGAGACATGGGCCTGTGCATCTGCCTAGAGAAAATCCTGCATGATGTTAAGAAAGTTGTTGAGCATTTATTAGGAAGCTCTGCATTCTGCAACTGTCAAGCAGAGACAGACTCCATCCTTACTGAAGGTCATTTTATATCATTTCAGCTCGGACGGTGCTTATGGTGGATGCGTCTAGATGGATAACATGGCTTCCTCCACTCTAAAATATTCCTCTAATACTTTGAGCTGTTCTGGTTCCTCCAGGGTGCATGGTACCTATTAACCCAAAATATGATAATTTCCCTTTTTTCCCATTTTCAGTCCTTTTGAAATGCTCCCTGTGAACCACAGACACATTGTTTAAAGTTTGCAGTTGATCCTGTCACCTTGGAGATTGGTCTCTGGTTTCTGTTTTAAGGGTGCTGTTCAATAAAGCTGTGTACACTGAACTTCTTTCCTCCATGAGTGGGCCTTGCTATGTCTGTGGGAGATTTTAATGAGGTCTCATTGTTTGACTCCCTCAGGTTACCTGAGGGGATGAGTGCATCCAGCCCTGTGGCTGAGGAGCATTCGCTCATAAAGCTGTATGTAACTCAGCTTGACCACTGCACACGGTCAGTATCCCAGCCCCGAATCACTAATCACAGTGGCAGCTCCATAGCTAGACTGCTGGTCATTCTCTTCCATCACTAAAGTCCTTGTTGTGCGTCTCAGGGGAGACAGAGGTCTTCTGGGCTTTCATGAGACTCCATTGAGAACTTCCAACTTCAGCTGGACCCTCAGCTCCTTCCTCTCTTTTCCACTTATTTTATTGCTCTTGGCCTCATACCAGTATATATGAGATGCATAGCTATGAAGAGGACAAGCTGGATTTTCTTCTTTTCTTCTTTGCGAGACCCAGATGGTAATTTCTTAGACTCTTGAATGAGAGAGCCTCTTGGAACCATCATTAGCACTAACTGGGTGAGGCCAGGATGATGTCACATGGCTAGACCGTATTGCAGTAAAAGACTTGAGGACTTAACACCTTTCTGCCCCACTGGGCCTGAGCCATGTTCTCCCCAAGGCAGAGCAGTCTGATTCCTATTGAAGCAGCAATTTCTAAACAAATATCATACTATGATTGCTTCATTTCTATCGTTTGATAATGCTAAGTTGTGATCTACTGTTTGTTTCTTAACCATGTTCAGACACTAAAATTGAAGGAAACCCATAGCGCCAAATGTAGGCATAAGTTAAAGGTCGTATACTTCCTATGATTGAAACTGAGCCAAATAAATGTAACCTGGAGCCCTGCCCTCACTCCTGCTCCACACCAACTTCCCCTTTTAAAGTGGGATAAAACCTAAACAAGCCAGGAATGTGCTGATTGGTGTTAAGAAAGCAGAGAAGTTTGCCGTGCAGATATTTTATGTAGCCTGAGTTATCAGTCTTTTGTGACAAATCTTAGAAAGATAAAGCAGAATGAGGACGAGCTGAAATCATTACTCCAGAAGTCTCATCATAAACTCCCAGCATTGCTCACCTACAGCCCTTTACACGCACACCACTTTGATCTTCACAGGGCACTAGGGTGTATCTTTGAAGTCTTTTGACATCCTAGTAATCTGACTCACACAGATTTACGAGGGTATAACTCTGGTTACCACCACCATTTGCTGCATCCTCTTTTCTTATATCCATCTCCAATTATATACATGATTCGCTTTTCCCTTACTTAAAAGAAAAGAGGGAATTCTCAAAGGCACTCTCCCTTAACCCCTTGAAGTCTAGTGTGTGTGTGTGTGTGTGTGTGTGTATGTGTGTGTGTGTGTGTGTGTGTGTTGTTCGATGCTGGTTAGCAATTAGATAGAATGTTGGTCAAATAACAATTCATGGACTAATTCACCTCATTCATTATCTTAATCATAACTTTATCCCTAAACCTAGATTGTTTTCTTAGAAATTTATAGGGACAGGGTGGCTGGGTCAATAGAAATCTATCATTACCACTAGAAAAAGAGCTCCAAGAGCTATGTGTAGTGGAGCAGTGATATTATCCGAGCTTCAGAAATACATCCTGTCACTGCTGCAAATATTACCGCAAGCGCTGATGCAAAGCCAGGTCCGAAAGGCCGGTTCTTGCCGCACTGTCCCTAGTGCTGTGCCTCTGAGAATCTGCCATCTTCGCAGGTTTTCACAGATATTTCAATAGATTTCTATAATGAAAGCCACTCAGAAAAGGAATCAGGTTGGCTATGATGTATAGCACCTGGCAAGATCTTATCACTCTTCCAAATGTTAGAATTGCTTCACTCATAGAGTATGTTGAACACAATACGGTGTTTTCTGGTTTGTCAAAATAACATTTGATTAATTTCTTACTATTTTATTAGGCTCAGTAGTGCATGTGGGGAAGGCACACCACACACCCCAAGTGCTTCCCAGACCCTGATCCTTAACAGTGGAACAGCCTTTGTGAGTTATTTTTGTTGATTGACTAGTTGGTAGAGAGGCTAATTACTATGTCTTTTTCAGTTTTTTCAAACACTTTGCTTAAACAAAGATTCTTTACCTAACAACCCAGATTATTAATCTGACTTAAAATGTTCAAACTAAATTTTAAGTATTTGTGCTTTGGTAGTCAAAGTGGAAAGAAATAGAATTGAGGTACAGAATTCAGCCTTTGATTTGAAAATCAAAGTTTTCTTTATGGTTAATTTTTTCTAATATTAGAGCCCATCTTTTTGAGTAAGAAAAGTAGAAATTTATAAGTCAACATCATAACACAGATAAACATACATCAACTACCCTGAGGATTTCTTTTTTCTTTTTTTATTTTTACAGAGAGGGAGAAAGAAAGGGAGAGAGACATCGATTCATAAGAAATACATCAGTTAGTTGCCTCTCACACACCCCTACTGGGGACCTGGCCAACATCCCAGGCATGTGCCCTGACTGGGAATTGAACCAGTGACCCTTCAGTTCACAGGCCAGCACTCAATCCACTGAGCCATGCCAGCCAGGGCTACCCTGAGGATTTCTTCACTCTTTTCACACTTTCTGGGCATGTTGTCTGAAATTTTATGAAATTTGAAATAATCACTCTCTGCTGCTATTTCTTTATTCCATGTCAACCCAGAGCTGCATTCATATGCTAGGGTTCTTTTTCAAACTTGAAATAAGCCCGTCTTTACACCGAACTCTGCTTTCTACACTAAAATGTTAGAGCATAATTAAAACTGCTGCCCCCTCTCTTCTTCATGTCAACAACTCATATTCCCTTATTAGAGTTGCTTTAGTTGGTATCTGTGCATGCTCTGTACCCAGCACACTTTTCCAGAGGCTCTCTTGGTGAAAATACAATGTTGTGGTTTGATGATGTCTGGAGGAAAGCACAGTAAACGTAGCAAATCCAACGAAAGGGTTCTTAGTATTTCTTCCATGGCATCTGCTTAAGATGGTTTGACTTTCGTGCCAGCTTGAACTGACAGCAATTAATTACCCCACGGAGACACTAAACTACTTTTTATGCTTGTTTGTTGATCTGCATATGGCAGATATTTTAGGTTTCAGATCAAAGATATTGAAAGCTAGAATAGGAAAGGGAAAAACAATTTATCAAGATATTATCTCTTAACAAAACTGATTTATAGTCTCTTCTATTAGGCCCAAACTGTGTTACTTACAACAAGCAGCAAAATTTTATTCACACTGATAGTTATTTAAGGACAGCCAACTTTACAAGTTACTCTTCACAAATCCAAACACCACACAACTTTATCAATTATTTGAAATCAATAAAAATGAAGATATATGTTTTTAGTTTGC